GTGACATCACCTCAGTCAAGTATGACAACAACTTGCACTAATGAGAAAATATAACTTGATGAGTCATGCATGGTTTAACACTGAATATTATTTAATCTCTTATGAATGCTGATTGTACATGTAGAAATGATCAATACGGTATGTAAGTGATCCCGAAATACCGGCATAATAACAATTGAGAGGTTACGAAGGCAAAAGTTATGAATGATAGTTATTTAACAGGTTGTAATATGAGATATATTGAAATATATGAAGAAAAATAATACCTGAATTACCAATTATGTAGAACTTCTTGGTAAAACACTAAATGTAAGGAGTTGAGCACGATTGATTAGTAAATGATTTTTGATATACACAATGCACGTGTTGTTGAGTACAGCGTGTGGGTTTGTTATGGCGGTTGGCGCGCAAGCAGCTGTTGACTTCGGGAAGTGACTTGCAGAGTGCGCGTCAGTCGCCGCATCTCTGGTGAGGTTGAATGCGAACTTACCATATGTTCTGGCGCGAACATGTGGTATTTACGCAACAATTTTCTTTATGGCTTTCATACCAATTTTCAAACTCGTCGTCGTCCAATGTATTTTTCTTGATGGCACAGGTATGACAATATCCGCTTTTAACGTCAAGATCGACCACTTTGCCACTGTAATACCCAATAAGTGTAGTTACACCGTACAATGAAGTATATCCACGTTTTTTCCACGATCCATCGCCCGAAACTTTCAAACGGTCAGCTGGTCTTTTATTTTGTATGTTGAGTTCTTTTTCCTCATCGACGGCTTTTTTGCAGACGCTCTCAAACATTGTTTTTGACGCTGTATACAGGTGTTTCACGATTTGGTCATACATCGATTTTGCTAAGCCCTGAGACATATCCATAAGGCCACAAAAAATGTTAATGCCTTCTCGTGCGACACCCAAAAGTCTCATGACGAACACAATTCTTCTGTTGATTTCGTAGCCGGTGTGAATGAACGGTCCGGATTGAATTTCTCGTTTACCGCATTTACACGACAAAATGATTTTGAATCCTACACCCCGATGGCCGCTTTCGGCAAACGTAATTCTCTGCTTACACGAATTGCAAATAACTAACTCAGAAATAGCTAAAAACACAGAGACAAACTCGATTATCCGATAGCAATGAGACGGATAAATTATAACATCGTCCGTAGTTGCTGACGCCAATTTTTTTTCACTACGGCTAGTATTAGCCTTTCCATCGTCCGATGACGAAACATTAAGAAACTGATTGCCCTGGAATTTGCGCTTCCGGGGCTTTCCAGTCCGTTCACTTGAAGATTTGGTCAATTTAGGATAGCTCTGCATGTTTTCGAGATGTTCACGTGCCGAAAAACAAATCAAAACTGAATTTAAATGCTAAATATAGCTTTGCTTAAGCCAACGTAGCCAGCTAATATATATAGTTATAATACATTCTTTTATCCCTACCATAGCTCCACAATGGGCTTCTACGAATAGTCAGTAGTGTCTCGAAGAACTGTTAGTCCCTTTGGATTCTTAGAATGGTTACAATGGGTACAATACATACAATAGATCGAGGGGCGGAGCGCGGGCACTTCGAGCGATCCGGCCGCTCGTATACCTGTTTGACGCTTGCTCACTATTTCTTCTGTAACTCCGAAAATAATTTGAATTTGCTTTTGAAATTTTATGGGCACATTCTTGGATAGTTTGGGAAGACATTTATGCAAAAAAAAATCGATTTTTTGAGCCCTCTAAAGCAGGCTCCCCCCTTAATAGCGACCCCCACAACCTCCACGACCAACACCGAAGAAGCTTCAGAATCCATCACCCAGCTCGACATTGGCAGAATTTCTAGACCAACAATGAGTCAGCCTGGCACATCATCTACAGCTCTAACGCCTATGGCAGCCGTTCCAGATCCATCAGACAGCTACGTAGCAGCCAAATTTAAAAAGCCCATGCTGCATGACAGAAGCCAGTTGACTTCATTGCCTCAACCAAACTTCAGGCTCACGTATGAACGACCTGAATGGATTGAAGATATCTGTAAAGCAATGGAGGAAATTCAGATTAAAATCCAGAAGAATACACAGGACATTCAAGGACTCCAGAATGGCATGAAAAGACTCGTACAGAGCCATTCCTCATTAAAACATTGCCAACTCACCAGCCTGGCAATTTCTGTACGTGAAATAGAACGAGATGTTGTTGCCGTCATGTTTAACGATCTAACTCAATCGAACCCAAAATGCATAAACTGGGAAAATACCAAGATAAATGCAAGGAGCCTGTCCAATCAGAAGCCGATTCAATTCCATTGACTTTCAAAGAGAAGCAAGACACCATTAATTATAAAATTGGAACTAAAAATCGTCAGTTAGCTCAAAAACTGACTTTGAAAGCAATTAAATTCTCTCAGTCGAAAATTCCATCTCGACAAGGTTTACAAGACGATGCTTCCAACTAATCCAGTCATGGTAACAATTTTAAATTCGTTACCGCATTATCAGGCACGAACAATACCAATATACGATGTCTCACATGCTCAAGAATATCCATTCAACAAAGCTTGGAAACACGCTGAAATTTGTTTTCATCTACCTGAAAACAAGAAAGAGGACCACGTTCAAGAAAGCTGGCAAAGAAGTAGGGTACCAGTTCAACTTTTTGATCCAGAATGCCAGGCTAGTAACCGACGTTGGCCTGGATACAAGAACGGGATCGAGATATATAGCAACGAAGAAGACATCGAGCGTATTCATCAGGACCATCTACGTGCCCTCCAAAAATAATTCATTCTATCACTACAGTATCATTTACTCATTCATCTTCCTTTTCTATATATTACTGTAAAGGCCAGTGTACTAATTTTCTTTACATTTCAGCAATATCAATATTTAATTATATGCTAAGCTTTATTATCATCATTATAAATAACTTTTATTATTTTTCTCAGAGAAGAGGTCGAAGTCACGCGATCGGAGTGCCGATGGATCTCCATTTCATCGTTACCGGTACCCCGTGCCGCCTCTCTCGGAATATTTTAAATTTAAACTCTATCTACTGCACATTTAAACTTTCTTTTTCCAAGAGTATGTCTCAGCCTGGTGAAGGGGATTGAGACAATGCAAATTGTCCGCCTGATCAGCTGCGCGACATACCCTTGAAAAATAACACTTGTCGGTAATCGAACTCGGTCGATATCTGGCGCTGTAAGGGGAAAGTAGGGGAAAAGCCGAATACCCAACGAACAAGAGCATCGACCGGCACTTCGACCTCGTCAGTCATACAGCACACAACACATTTCTTTGTATTCAAAAACACACAACATACTAGGTATTTACTACCGACAAATCACTAGGTATTAACTACCGATACAATTCTAGCACTAGCTGCTTATTTATTATTTATAATTATTTTATTACTTCTTTCTAACTAAGTTTATTAGTATTAGTGTAACTATTGTTATAAGTATATTTTCTAATTGATTTGTGTAAATATAATTATTAATTAAACATATCAGTGTATATCATTAAAAATACTTTATAACAAACTACCCGTAATCTTGAACGAGCGAACACGAGGCCACCCAAGGTCATCTAATTATTGCTGGAATTTATGTAAGTAAATGGAAATTTAATACATTGGCTGGGCCTGAGTTCTTCCACGAGACTTTATATAAATATTAAGAAAGATTTTTGGTAAGCTATCCGTTGCCGCAAGTTGAAATTTAAGAAATTAAGCGGATAAATTTCCTACACGGTATTGTCCCATTATTATAAAGAAACTTATTAGGTCTCAAGCAATTCCGCAAGGCTGACAGGCTTAATAAGGAAATTATTTATTAGTGATAAATTAAAATTTCATTTCAATATATAAAAGATTTCCATCTATATATTGACTCATCACGATATCTCTGGAATCATAAGGCGTAGCGACTTGAAATATGGTCGGAATATTCTTTTCGCCGAGTAGAGGTCAGCTAAGAACGGATTTTACAAAATTCCACCCACAAGGGGTTAGCGGGAGCGTTAACAATGAAAAATTCCCATTTTCAAACTATAGCTCCTATCGACTCCAAATTTGGTAGAAATCTTCTGTAAGAGATGTAGAAATAATATATGAACGAACTTTACGATATTACACCCCATAGAGGGTTGCGGGGGTTGGTATTAACAATGAAAATTTTTAATTTTCAAGCTATAACTCCTACAGACCCCAAATTTAGTAGGAATCTTCTATATGTGATATAGAAATTATCTAAGAACGGGTTTTACAACGAATCACCTCCAATAGCCCCACGGAAAAAAAATATATTCTAGAATGTATTCTTGGATATATCCGAGAATATATCCAAGGATATATCCAGAATATATTCTGGAATATATTCGAGATCCATGCAGTATATACGCTGAATATGCACAGTTTTGCCCACCGAGATATATTCTACAAATATATTCCCGGATATATTTGAGAAATATATACCTTAAAATATATAGAATATATCCAGCAATGTATTTTAAAACCGTATTTTCGGATGTATCTGGAATATATGCAGTATATATGACACGAATTTAGACTGGAATATATTCTACGAATGTATCCAAAATATATGCTTGAAATATATAGCGTAGTATATTCGGTATTTATTCATGTGTTGTTCTTTCGTATAACTAAGTAATTTGTCATCAATATTAGATAAAATTTAAATGATATCATTATTTATTTAGAAAAGTAAAAAAACTCAATATTTTTAATTATTAATACACACAGGATAATCATATAAAAAATAAACGTTTAGAAAGTGAACTGATAATTTCAATATTTTGAGACTGCAAGAAAGACTTAGTCCATGCCAGAATTATTATCGTCTTTTGAACCAGAATTGTCATTGTCTTTTTTCTCTTTTCCAGGAATCTATAAAAAAATATGAGCATGCATTATTTCTTTAAACATTTGAAGCCAAGGTAAGTAAGAAATTTTTGAAATAATATTAAATTATTTACCTTAGATTAGCGAAGTTCATATCTGACTTTATTGCATTTATTATAAACAGCCCTCCCAAAATGACTACTTTTAAAATTTTTAAAACGTTTTGTTACAAATTCTGAAAAAGAAATTCATAAATATTGACATAAATAATAAAGTGAAAAAAATAAAGTAAATGGTATTACGTTTAATGGCATTTAATTTCACAAAATCCAAACGATCATGCTGAACTTTTGTTCCGTCTTTGGTAGTTTTGGGTGCTCCGCCGTTATAATTGCTCTTGGACAAAATATCCAAACCAAAGATTGATACTAACAAATTTGTTGTCATTGCTGAAGGTGTCGCAGCGGAATGTCGCACTCAGCAGCAGAATATTGTTCTTCATTAATGAAAACGTTGCTCCCTGGATCACTAATTTCTTTCTAAATTTTTATAGAGAAAAAAAAACTGTTAAGCTAATTCTTGTTTTTTTAATTTGCAAAAACTTACCATTTTAAGACCACCTGATGTACTACCAGGAAGACCAAGTGAAGGGCTGTTCTTAGTTTTCTGCCTGGGTTGTAAAGTTTGAGATGTCGAAGGCTGCTGATGTTGTTGAATTTCTCGTAAGGCTGGGAATAATTAAAATAAAAAATTTTTTTTTAATTTTTAATTAATAAAAAACAAAACATAACTTTCATCAAATCTTCTTTTGTGACATATTGATGCCCAACTTCTTCATTGATCTGAATTACTGGTGTAATTTTTCCGGTCTCTTTGCTAGCAGAACTTATGTTCTTTTCCCCAACTTTGATAGTTAAATTATCATCATTTTGATCCTAAATAATAAAAAATTATAAAAAAATCAATTAAAAAAAAAATAATGATAATAATTGACAATTGAATATCGATTCATTCGAAATTTACAATAAATTTAAGGGCTTTGAATGTTTGAACTAGGAAAATTATTTTAAAATAAATTTTACCTTCTTATCATCTCCAGTAATATCAATTAAACTGTCATTGTTCTTTTCACTCGAGTTCTCATTTTCAAACCTAATTTTTTTTCGTGCAGAAGTATGTTCCTCCGGATTTTCTTCATCCTAGAAGTAAAATTATCAATTAATTTTCTGTATATTTTTTAATTTAATAAAGCTTAATAAAAATAATTTGTATAAAATTATATTATTAACATAAAATTACAATATTAATTTACTTCTTCTGCCAATAGATCGACTACTGAATGACTGCAATGGGCTTGAGGTTCCTTACGATTAATCGGTACTATTTCTTGGGTATTTATCGTTTTTGGTGATACAATACCGTCTAGAGCTTTTAATTTTTTATTTAAAACGTTACGAGAATCTACAAAAATTAAAGAGTTATTAGTAGATATTTGTCACCTATATTTTTTAACAGGTTTCCGATACGTGCAAAGTTTTTAAGTGTAATTCCAACATGAAAGTGCCTAAAATAGTTATTTGTCTTGTGTGTGAAAATGTTTATCATGAGGCTGATTTTAATAAACATTCCAAGGGCAGATATATAAGTGAAATGCTAGTAATATGTCCAAAACATCAAATGGACGCTATAACCAACATATCTAATGTGAATTTAAACACATTGGATGAAAATGCTCGACAAATAATTGCGCAGATTAAATTGTTTCATAAAGAGGAACTTAGAAATGACCTATGTCACAATTTGTCGTTAAATTCGTCTAAAAATAACCAGGAAATTGCTGAATCAACGGAGCTTGATGAACTGTCCATGTTGAGGATGGAAAATGAACTTTTAAAAGAATTAAATAGTGAACTAAAAAGTAAAAACAAACTACTGGATAGTATTGTTAATAAGGTAAATAATCAAGTGAGTGATCTGTCGTATGCTAGTGTAGCTAAGAGTGAACCAAATAATGCTGATCGAGTGACTAATATTTATGTAAAACCGAAAGAGAATATTAAAAATCCTCAAACTTTAGCTAAGGTTAAAAACAAATTAACTTGTGATCTTGCTATTCCTATAAACACGGTCAAAGAAAATAAAGAGGGTCATGAGGCTATTAAATGTAAAAACAATATTGATGTGTCCAGAGTGAGATCTGTGCTGAGTGATAAACTTGGCCTTGATTTCAGTGTTGAACTGGAGCAGCTAAATCTACCAAAAATCAAGGTTATTAATGTTGATTGTGACTTAACTAAGGATGAACTGTGTGATGATATTTACAATCGTAACTTTCTTGAGATTGATGGTGCATTTAACATAATTGCTGATTATAAGGGTCGTGCTGATAATCGTACTCTTATCTTAGAAATAACTTCTGAGTCTTATCTACATTTAAAAAATAATGGCTTTAGACTGTACGTTGGTCATCAGTGCTGTAGAATTTTTGATTATTTTAATTTCAACCTGTGTTATAAATGTGGTAGATCAAACCACAAGCATAAAAACTGTAGTAATGAAATCAGATGTCTAATATGTGCTGGTAGCCATCTTACTGAAATGTGTACAAGCCAATCTAAAAAGTGCATAAACTGTGTATTCTACAATGATAAATTCAAAAAAGATAGAGCTAAACTACCGGTCACTGCGCTACAGATACGTGCTGCGAATATCTCAAGTACAAACTGAACAAGATTATTAATGAAACTGATTATCCCATCAAACCTATTTTACCAAATTCAATTGGTAATGTAGGAAATACACTGTTAAAAATTTCTATTGTAATTTTACAAGAAATGTATTGGAAGCTAATAGGCAAAACATTTATT